GTGATATTATTGTCATATGCTCTAGCCATTGGCCTAGTATAGATATTAGATAACATATTATAACTGTGAGATACTATAAAATATTATACCTAATAAATAAATACGAATACTAATTTAATATTAACGTCTTATTGAAACACTATGATTGTGTTTTCCAAACCATCTTTGTGGCCGTAATAACTACGTGAATATATAATGACAATATGAAATCAAATAATAATTATCTCACTTAATAATCACTGCAAAAATTCTTAAAAAACTGTAAAGCCAAAGAAGAAGAAGAGAAGAAAAATAATCATTGCGCACCTATCTATTATAATATTTTATAATAAATAACAATACAATATTGACGCTTCTGACGTCGTCACCACTACCTTRCCCATATTTAATATCATTATAATATATAACCTATTATAATTTACCTATTATATAGTATTAAAGGTGTTACATAAATAAAACCTCTCGAGTGAGTTCGACGTTCATTATTTCGATCACGAAACAACCGAGATGGTTTGGARTTTATAATCCTAAAATATATGAAACGACGACCCTGCGTCATTAGGGTAAATGTGTACGACTCGACGTTAACGCGATATTCGTGAACGTAATTCACCGATTTGATTTTATATTTCACGTATATAATAAAGGTACATATTATGCATATTGTTATATAATACTGCACCGCGGGCTTGTGCGTCAGTTTTTAATTTATTCGATTCGTGTGCGTTATTCAATGCGTAATTATACGCGATCGGGCGCGGACTAAAAGGCAAAACTTCGATTAGATTTTAACGTAGRACGTAGGTACATATATGTTTTTAGAATTTTTTTTTAATTTCGATCGCTCCTAACCGCATATTATATCGTTCTGTTTCACGTTATCTCATCCCTTCTCTCTAATCGTCCGTATTGCGGGCAGACGATATTTAGTATTATTATTTTACATTTTTTTTTTTACACACAATTTCGACGCGATAACGATATTTGAATATAATATAGAGGTGCAGCATTACATATTATACGTATAATACTACAACTATATACTCCTACCCGTAAGCAGTTATTGCAGCAGCTCATAACCGGAAGCTATAGCAGTGCACAAAGCGCTCAGTGTATTATATCGTATATACACTGGTAAATATACATAACATTCAATTTATATATGTATATATATATATATTCAACAGAATATGTATATACGCTTTCAGCATATACATTGTCCGGGGGATCACATATGTGTGAATCGCGATACCACATGGCTTTCAAAGGTTCCTGCACACGGGGACTTGTCAATATTAAACTCCGGTACCTGCATTATATTATAATACCTATACTGTAAACAATGCCTTTCGTYATTAGGTTATATTGACTGTTGAAAACAATTTGCATTGAATAAATAGGGAACTCGACTAGGTGCWCATAGGTATACCGCCAGAATTCGTCTCATCTATATACATACTCTGTGTATACCACCTACCTATTATGTACACGGGTACACGCCATACCGGGCACTRTATACTCGTACTTCAGCATCTATATATTATATATGACATGTAGGAGGGATTATTAATATTATATGCTTAAGATGACTGCACACCCACATGTGACGTGAAGAAAAGAAAATTTTCGTTTTCCAGTTTCAATAGCGTGCTGTTATAGTTTAATACAAGAGTGAATTGACCTATTATAAAATTTAAATATAAGATTATTATCTAGGGCTCAACTTAGGATGTTATTGATATTATTTTTTCGTTTATATTAATATTTATTATTATTATTTTAAAATGCACAGTTTCTTAAAATCATAACTTACTTAAAAATAATACTATAAATAGAATTCTGCGTGAGGCTCTAGATAATAAATTTGATTCTAAATTTATTGTATAATATTCCAATTTATTCTAATACCGAAATTCCAAAATAGAACAATATTGAAATTGGCAAACGAAAATTTTCTGTATCGTACGTATGTAAAACGKAGACAACACACGCTGGTGTGACGTCTTCATAATATATTGTATAGCATGTTTACTATTATTTTTATTTTTAAAAAACGGCCACTGCATATTTTGAATTTTAAAACCAAATATTGGAAACTCGACTTCGAATTTCAATGTGTTTTTTTCCCTATATATTTAGGCAATAATAATATTGTCAATTTTAGGGTGTATTTATAAGGTGCAGAATTAATCGAAAAAAATTGTAGGTAACAAGAGTAAATGAATTCATAACGCACGTAATT